TAACTGTTGTTAAAAAGGGGGAACCAGCAGTTAGTGTAATGGCTATGTCGCTGGACTTCCACGTAGTTGACCGCGGTTTGCGTCCCGGACCTGGTGGCTTAAAACCCACGCCAGGTGCGTGTGCGTGCGTGCCCAAGATCCCAAGAGTAGAATGGAGGAGAAGGGATTGCGGTGTGACCATCCCCCTGGGGGGTGATTTCTCGCTTTCTGTCTGTCTGTCTCTGTCTGTCTGGCGAGCACATGTGCCCTATAGCGAAAACCTCTCAAAAAAAAAAAAAAAAGGAATTCCCAGGGCCGGTAAGTGATTAAGGGTGCTGGACTCCCACATGGCTGACCATACTTGAAGTCCTGGACCTGGCAGCTTGCTTTCTAACTTTCTCTCTCTCTCTCTCTCTCACTGTCACTGTCACTCTGTACCTCTCTGGTCAAATTAAAGATGAATAAATAAATAAATAGTTAAATAAAATAGGTTTAAAAAATTATATATAAAAAAGGGATTTCCATATTCCAAAAAGAGTGAGAACATCTGCTGTAGAGCTTATGAAGGTATCATTCTACATGTAATCTTTCTGTTTCAGAGAGAAAACTACTACGTGGATAAACAGGTATTTCCTCCACACATCATTTACATATAGTTTTACTCAAACACAATTAGCAGTATGGCATAATTCAAGAAAAGAACTGGGTTCTGAGGACTGACTGTTCTCTTGACTAGCTAGTAATCCATGGACAAGACACTTCATGCCTTAAAGGAAACCTAGTGGCACTGTGAAAGGACATACAGTAGAAAGAACTGGAAACTATTTAACAGTCCAACTGAGGGGCCAGTCCATGGCCTGGTAGTTAAGGGAGCTGGATCCCATAGCTGACCGCGTGGCTTAAATCTTGGACCCAGTGGCTGGAAACACACTAGGAGTATGTATGTGCATGCCCCAAAATTCCCAGGAGAGAGAAAAATGGAAAAGGAAGAACTGTAGAGTGATGATGTTGAATGCAGAGTGCTTTTCCTCTTTTCCTCTCTCTGGCTAGCACACACGCCCTCTGGCAAACAAAGATAAAAACTTGAACTACTCCACTGATATTAAGATAAAGAAAGGAGTGAACTGACTAAAGCACTGCAAAAGGACCTGGAAAACCACATGTTTTACACTGAGGGAAAGGAAATAATTTCACACAAAGGATGTAAGTGGCCAGTAATCCAAGATAAAAAATAAAAAATCTTTCTCCTGACTTCGTTACTGGAAAAAGGTGAGTTTAAATGTGTTAAACTTGAGTCTGCAGGTACTCGAGTAGATATGCCCAAAAAGAATGTGAAGTTAGGACCAGCAGATGGCACAGTGGTTACGTCGCTGCACATGGCTGACTGCAGTTTGCAGTCCCTGACCCAGTGGCTTCTAACTTATGCCAGGTTCGTGCCCAAGCTCCCAGGAAGAGAATGGAGAAGGGATTAGACACGGCCATCCCTCTTGGAGGGTGATTTCTAACTTCCCCTCTCACTGTCTCTGTCTCTCTCTCTCTATGGTGAGCTCACATACCCTAAAGCAAAAACCTCCTTAAACAAAAAAGAATGTGAAATAAAACCTTGGCAAGAAGATGTGTACCTAAATCTGTAGATCTAGAAGCTATCTGTTTAAGCTAGACTTTAGATGAAAGAAGAGTAAAGGCTAACTAAAGATTCTAGAAACAGACCAGCAGATAGCATAATGGACTCCCATGTAACTGACTGTAGTTCGAGCTCCACACCAGGAGGTTTAAACTCACACCAGGCATGTGTACGTGCATGCCCAAGATCCCAAGAGAGACTGGAGGAGAAGGGAGTGCAGAGTGGCCATCTGCCCAAGGGGTGATTTCTCGCTTTCTGTTTGTCTTTCCAGTAAGCACACATACTCCATAGCAAAAACTTCTTTTAAAAAAAAAAAAAAAAAAAGAATCTTTTTTTTTTAAAAGGTTTTTGCTATACGGTGTGTGCGCTCACCAGACAGAGACAGGGGGATGGCCACGCCTAATCCCTTCTCCTCCATTCTCCTCTCGGGATCACGCGCCCGGCGTGAGTTTAAGCCCCCCAGGTCCGGGACACGAACCGTGGTCAACTACGTGGGAGTCCAGCAGCATAGCCATTACGCCAACTGCTAGTCCCCCCCCCCAAAAAAAAGATTCTTGAAACCAGCAAGTGGGCTGGTGGTTAAGGCAATGAACACTCTCACATGGATGACAATGGTTCGAGTCCCAGACCTGGTGACTTGCTTTCTCACTTCCCCTCCCTCTCTCTCTGTCACAATAAAAATAAATGAATAAATAAGTAAAATTAAATGATTATTTAAAAAAAAAAAAAAAAGATTCTAGACAACACCAAAATCAGCATCGTGGGCAAATGGCCCAGCTTCAGTGGCACAGTCTGTAGTGTGTTGAATTGCAATGTGGAAAGCCACATGGCCAACTTAGGGTTCAGATCCCTGGCCCAACAGACCTAAAACACAGTATGTGCACACATATCTAGGTTTCTGACAAGCTAGAAGGAAAACACTACATGACAAAAGCCTGTCAAGGGTACTTCTCTGTCTCTCTTACCCTTGCATGTGTGCACGTACTCTCTTTCATAAACAAAATAACCTAAAAAAAAAGAGTAAGTTGGCACCAGGAGATGGTGTAATGATTATGTTGCTGGACTCCCATGTAGTTTACAGTGTTCAAGTCCAGGATCTGGTAGCTTAAACTCACGCCGAGTGCATGTGGGTGTGTGCCCAAGATCCTGAGAGGAGAATATAAGAGAAGGGAATGCTACATGCCCATCCCCCTGGGGGGCATTTCTCAGCAAGAACACGCGTGCCATACAGCAAAAATTTCAAAAAAAAAAAAAAAAAAAGACCAAGTAGAAGTGAAATTAGAGAGCAGAACAGAAAGAATTTAAAGTAAGATGAAAGGAAGAATTTAATCACAAATTCTGTAACTTAGAGAAATATTAAAGATAAAATTCAAAATATTTAAGTTTGATATTTGATTTAGAATTAAACACTCAGGAGGGAACATAGAGAACATTTTTAAAACTTGGTTTCATATTTATACAGATATTATTTTGTGATGAAAAATAAGTAAAATGCCAGCGTAAACCTTCTTCAAAATTCCCCTAGACAAAAGCTTCTGAGTTGTGTGTGTTGTACTTTCTTCATATATCTTCAATAAACTTAGGTGAATAAATAACTGAACGTGATGGAGGGAGGAATACTAGACAGAAATGATGCTGACAAGTCAAAGTGAAGATAAATCTCTGAAGCAAAGTTTGCTTTGGCATTTGGTAATAGTCTGTAGATACTTCTTGTGGACACCTGGAGGTCACGACAGTACATACCCATTCATTTTAATTTTATGAAAAAGGTGAAAATGAGCCCCCCTTCCCTGGGTCAGCAGGTGGCATGGAAGTTAAGGTGCTAGACTCCAACATGGCTGACCACGGTTCAAGTCCCTGACCCAGTGATCTGAAACTCACACTGGGTGCTTGTGCATGCGTGCCAAGAATTCCAAGAGGAGAATAGAAGAGAAGGGACTGTAACATGGCCATCTTCCCTGGGGGTGGGGGTGATTTCTCACTTTCTGTCTCTGTCTCTCTGGTGAGTACACATGCCCTATAGAAAAAAAAAAAAAATCTTAAAAAAAGGGGGGGGGGAGGCAGTAGACAGTGTAATAATTATGTCGCTGGACTCTCACGTAGTTGACCCTGGTTTGAGTCCTGGGCCCGGCAGCTTAAAACTCACTCCCAGCTTATGTGCATGCATCCCCAAAATCCCAAGAGGAGAATGGAATAGAATGAATGGTGATGTGGCCATTTCCCCTTGGGGGGGTGATTTCTTACTTTCTCTCTGGTGAGCACACACATCCTATATCAAAAGTCTCTCTTAAAAAAAAAAAATAGGAGTCCTCGCTGTAAGTCTTTCTCCGCACATGAAAACTTTAGACTGAGGGAATTAGTATGCATTTAATCCTATGCTTTAGAACAATTATCTCTATCTACAGGATAAAACAATAATGGATTCCCATATGTTCTCCTACACAGCCAAGAAAAGATTGAGTTATGTTTGGTATGCTATTTAAAGTGTCAATGAAATATGACTTTCCTCAAAATGGCATATTTTATTTAGCACCTAACAAATTGATTTTAGGTATGTGGAGAATATTTTAGGTATTTTGTTCATTTTCCAGACCCTCTCATTAGCTAGCAATACTAGAGAAAGCTGGTATTATGTCTTATCATTGTAGCCAACAGATCTTGCAAATATTAAAGATTAAATACTTTGTTATAATAATTTTTTGAAGAATAAGTCATTCTAGTAACTCATTTATCCATCTTATGAAGCCAGAAATCTGGAAGTCTTTCTACAGTCTCCCCTTCTCTTAACCTCCGATTAATCATTTATGACAGTTAAATGGCTCTCAAGGAATGTTCCCCCACCACCATTATCCTTGTCTAACTATTAAGCCATTAACTAAACTGACTGTGTCTCAAATTGTAATGATCAGATGTGGGGCTACTGTCTAGATACTTAACATCTGGTAATGTACTCTGCATTGGCAGTACTAAACGGTGCAAAGATAGCATGGCAATGCAGAATCAAATGAGTACTCCTTCCAACAGAGCGCTCGCCTCCACACCATGTCACCCTGTCTTCTGATCTAGGAAGCAATGCCTGCAGTTATTCTGAAGTGCTTACTTCTGGAACAATCCAGAGCCCTGGTTAGACTTCCACCCCCCTTTCTGCTAACATTTATGGATAAAGAACAACCTTAAGTTCTTAGAAACACAAAAAGCAACAAATCCCTAACCTCAATAAAAGTAAAATGTTTGTACGATTTGTTTGATTACATTATAAATAAGACAATGACAGAACATATCTGTTTACATATTTTTAATAAATTTCCTTTATTTTTTATTTTTATCAAAAATCACTAACTTAGCATTTTGCTATAATCTAAAAATATAAGTAAATATTTAAAAGCAAAACAATTACCTGAGGAGAGTCAAAAGGATATCGACTACTAAATTTAAATAGAAGTTGAAATTTTTCCCCTTCATATAAGGTACCTGGTGCACCTTCCATGTCTACGATCCACCTAGAATAGAAAAAAAAAAAAAAATTGAAAACTTAAAGAGAAAATGGATTGGTGAGAGGGAGAAATGGGAACGTCAACTTCTTCCTCTATGCCAGGCAACTGGGCCAGGAATCATGTAACATCACATTTCATACTCCCAACAACTCCTGAGTGGGTAAAACACTCCGTGCCCTAGCCCCTTCTCTGACACTCAGGGGTTAAATAGCCTGATCAAAGTTAGACGGCAAGCAAAGGACAGAGTTAAATTGTACCCAGATATGAAATCAAGCACAACATAAAAACCCAAATGTGGGTGTACTGATACCGAAGCCTGTGCTCGTCCTACCTGATTCATATTTTTCTAATGACTGATAAAATTTTATAGATTATATTAAACTAGTCAATCGCCTTTCTTTTTATCTTAAGAATTATTTTATTTAACTTTATTTATTTATTTTTAATCTGACCAGAAAGGGACAGTGGAGGGGTAGATTTAGAAAGCAAGCCGCCAGATCCAGGACTCGAACCACAGTTGGTTATATGGGAGTCCAGCGCCCTTAACCACCATGCCACCTGCTAGCCTTTCTGATCAAGGAATGGAAAGAGTAGGTATAAACAATGACGACAGAGCGGTCAGACCTATTTTCTCACCAGCATTTAAGGAAAGACTAAATAGGAAAAAGGATGCTAGGCTGACATCAGTCTATATCCTCTGATGACTAAGCAAGGCACTATACTGCTTTTCCCTCTCTTACTGTGTTCTGTTTAATAAAGTACAGGACAGATTTCTAAAGCATCTATGTATGCCAACTTTGTTTTCATCCACAGATTGAGGATCTCTTATCTGGACTGCCTGGGACAAGAAAGAAATATTCTAAATTTTGGATGTGTTCAGGTTTGGAAATATTTGTATATACATAATGAGATCCAAGGGACTTGAAGACATTTGTGGGAAAATGGAATTAAAGTGTATGCTTATTTAGGGAAAAAAAAAATCGAATTCCATGCAAAATTTATCCATAATACACATTTTCTACAAACTTTTTGGGACCAGCAATTAGTGTAATGGCTATGTCACTGGACTCCCATGTTCGAGGCCCGGACCTGGCAGCCTCAACTCATGCTGGGCGTGTGTGCGTGCATGCCCGAGATCCCGAGAGGAGAACGGAGAAGGAGTTGTGACGTGGCCATACCCCCTGGGGGGTGATTTTTTGCTTTCTATCTCTCTGTCTTTCTGGCTAACGCATGCACCCTATAGCAAAAACCATAAAAAAAAAAAAAAAATCAGTTGTTCCAAATTTTGTTTGACATAAATGGGAAATTGAGAATTCAGCAATGTTTTTATAGAGCTATAGATCTGTACTGTTTTTGGTAGTTAATATATCCATTCAGTATATTCATTCTTAACATTCCTGTTCTTTAAAGGAATTATTTATTCAATTTTACTTATTATTATTAATATTTAATTAACCGGAGAGAGATGGAGAGAAAGGCAGAGAATGGAAAAAGCAAAAGCAAGTCACCAGGTCCAGGACTTGAACTATATTCGGCCATGTGGGAGTCCAGTGCCTTAACCACCATGCTACCTGCTGGCCTCATTATTCCTGTTCTTAAAGCTCTGGGGAAGGCAGGTGATGTGGTAGTTAAGATGCTGGACTACCACATGGCCTAATGTAGTCAGAGTCCCAGACCTGGCAGCTTGCCTTCTCACTCACTCTCCCTCCCTCCCTACCCCCCCATCCCTGTCCTTCTCTGGTCAAACTGAAGAATAATAATAAATAAAAGAAAAGAATTCTTAAAAAAAAAAAAAAATTTTTAAAAAAAAAAAAAAATTTTTAAAAAAAAAAAAAAAAAGCAAAACAAAAAAATTCTTTGATCCCTGTCATAAGTACTTGACTCAAATGTCAAAGGTAACTAAAATGGTTTCTGGGAATATTAAGTATTTCCCATTACATGAATTTAGGTCCCTTATTTTTTTAAGAGAGATTTTTGCTACAGGGTGCATGAGCTTACTGAAGAGACACAGACACAGAAAAGAAGAAATCAGTCCCCCCAGGGGGGTTGGCCACAGCACAATCCCTTCTCATCCATTCTCCCTTGGGATTTTGGGCATGCATGCACACATGGTCGGTTGAATTTCAAGCCTCTAGGCTCAGGACTCAAACTCCGGTCAGCCATTGGGAGTACAACAATGTAATCATTAGCCCATCTGCTGGTCCCTAAGTTCGGTCACTTTTACTTCCCGGAACTAGAATACAGCTAAATATATGAATTGGCTCCATTAGTCCCACGTGCTGCTTTATAGTTAATTTTTATTTTATTGGTTTCTTTTCTATGCTTTTGGAAATTCTTTTTTCTTTAAAGAAATATTTATTTGTCGTTGTTATTATTTTTTTTAATTTGCTACAGGGCACATGTGCTTACCAGAGAGAGAAAGAAAGGAAGAAAGAAAAGCAAGCAAGCAAGCAAGCTGCCAGCTCTAAGACTCGAACTGCAGTCAACCATGTGAGAGTTCAGCACCTTCAGTACCTCGCCACCTGCTGGCCCCTGGATATTCTTTTTTAAGTGGAGGATTAATTATTTTAAATCCCTCTCCCATTTCAGAACATTTACTACTAACAAAATTATTAAATCAAAGGTACAGCAAGGACTGAAGCTATTGATTGTTGAGATCTCAGAGCAATACTCTAAAAAACACTTTTTTTATTTAAAGAAGTAATTTTATTTTTTAACTTTTATTTATTTATTTTAATTTGACCAGAGAGAGAGAGAAAGAAAGTGAGAAAGCAAGCTGCCAGGTCTGGGACTCGAACCGCAGTCAGCCATGTGGGAGTCCAGCACCCCACACCACCTGCTGGTCCATCAAACACTTTTTTTTTTTTTTTGAGTTTTTGTCTCCCCTTATAGAGCATATACCAGAGAGACAGAGATGGAGAGACAAAGAGACAGAGAAACGAAGTGAGAAATCACCCTCCAGGGGCAATGGTCACACTGCAATTCCTTTTACTCTCAGGATTTTGGGCATGTGCTCACACCTGCCCAGCCTGAATTTCAAGCCACCAAGTCAGGACTTGAAATGCAGCTGAACATATCGAAGTCCAACTCCTTAACCACTATGCCACTTGCTGGCCCCTCAAATGCTCATTTTTAAAGAAAGGGCACCCTTGGAGCCAGCAGGTGGTGTGGTGGACTCCCACATGGCCGACCATGAGTTCCTGGTTTGAGTCCCAGAACTGGCAGCTTGCTTTCTCAATTTGTCCCCACCCTCATGGTAAGTGCACATGCCCTATAGCAAGTAAAATAATAAACAACACAAATGAATAAGCAATTCTAAAAAATGTCTTTAAAAATATCTGAGAAAGGCCTTTGGCTCGACTTTGAGGAAAGAGCTGAATTGGAAAGAACACTTACGTGTCTACCTATTTCTCTTTTTTTTTTTTTTGGAGAGGTTTTTGCTATAAGGCATGTGTGCTCACCAGAAAGAGAGACAGAAAGCAAGAAATCGCCCCTCAGAAGGGATGCCCACATCACAATTCTTTCTCCTCCATTCTCTTCTCGGGATCTTGGGCACACATGCACATGCGCCTGGCGTGAGTTTAAGCCACTGGATCTGGAACTCGAACCATGGTCATGTGTCTATTTCTACTCCTCCTTTACCTTTTCATCCTTATTAGAAATTTTCCTTTCTTTCTTCTTTTTTTTGGATAGGTTTTTGCTATAGGGCATGTGCACTCACAAGACAGACAGAGAGACAGACAGACAGAAAGCGAGAAATCACCCCCCTCTGAGGATGTCCATATTGCAATTCCTTCTCCATTCTCCTCTCAGGATCTTGGGCACACACGCACAGGTGCCTAGTGTGAGTTTAAGCCATGAGGTCCAGGACTCGAACCACGGTCAACTACATGGGAGTCCAGTGATACAGCCTTTACACCATCTGCTGGTCCTGAAACTTTTCTTTCTTTCTTGCACTTTTTTTTTTTTTAAAAAGATTGTTGGGAACCAGCAGGTAGCGTAATGGCTATGTCGCTGGACTCCCACGTAGTCGACCGCGGTTCGTGTCCCGGACCCGGTGGCTTAAAACTCATGCCGGGCGTGTGTGTGTGCGTGCCCAAGATCCCAAGAGGAGAATGGAGGAGAAGGGATTGCGGCGTGACCATCCTCCCTGGGGGGTGATTTCTCGCTTTCTGTCTCTATGTCTCTCTCTGTTTGTCTGGCGAGTGCACGCGCCCTACAGAGAAAATCTCTCAAAAAAAAAAAAATTAAAAATTAAAAAGATTGTTATCATAAGGTATATGTGTTTCACTGGAGATAAAGGGAAAGTGAGAAATCACGGGAGGAGGGAGCATGTCCTTCTTCTCCATTTTCCTCCAGGAATTTTGGGCATGCACGCACACATGTCTGGAGTGATTTTCAAGCCTCGAACCATGGTTGATCATGTAGGAATTCAGCCCCTTAACCACCATGCCACAAACTGGCCCCAAACTTTCTTTTTAATGAGACTGGTGAGAGTTTGGCTTTCAAGACATCCTGTAGTGGACGCAAGTAATACAGTAAGGAAATGGGATACCCTTTGACTGTAACTCTCTTTAATGTCCTAATTTTTAATTAGATAACCTCACACTAAACTGCACTATTGTATATGAGAATCAATTCAGAAACAAAGTCAGACAGAGTTTATTTATTTATCTATATAGGTTTCTGCCATTGGGTGTGTGTGTTTGCCAGAGACAGACAGAGAGAGAGAAAGTGAGAAATCATCCCCTTGGGGGATGGCCACCTCTCCATCCCTTCTCCTCCACCCCTCTCTTGGGATTTTAAGTACACAAGTACAACACGCCTGGCATGATATTAAGCTACCAGGCCCAGGACTCAAACTGTGGTCAATTATATGGAAGTTGAGCGCCTTAATCACCATGCCATTTGCAAACTCACACAAAAGTTTTTGAATGCTACCCTGTTAGCAAGAAACTTTTTAAAAACTTACTAATGAAAGACAGGGTTTTTAAAAAATACTTTATGGGGTCGGCAGGTAGTGTGGTAGTTAAGGTGCTGGGCTACCACATGGCTGATCATGGTTTGAGTCCTGGACTTGGGCGCATGTGCACGTACTCTCTCTCTCTCTCTCTCCAAATTGAATAATAATAAAAAATAAATAAAATTAAATGAATAATTCTAAAAAATTGCTTTGTGAATTATACAACAATGTGTATGATACAGTAATATAAAACAATTATGAATATAAATGCATAAAATAAGGTATGTTTATTTACTTCTTAATGTATGACAATGAAGTATGAAAATAATTTTATATTTTCATTACATCAGTAACAAAAAAATAAAAGTACTTTAAAAATTAAATACTAGGGGACCAGCAGTTAGCGTAATGGCTATATTGCTGGACTCCCACATAGTCGACCATGGTTCAAGTCCCGGACCCGGTGGCTTAAACTCACGTGTCAGCGTTGGTGCCCAACATCCTGAGAGGAGAAAGGAGGAGAAGGGATTGCGGCATGACCATCCCCCCAGAGGGTGATTTCTTGCTTCCTGTCTCTATGTCTCTCTCTGTCTTTCTGGCAAGCGCACATGCCCTATAGCAAAAACCTCTCAAAAAAATAATAATAATAATTAAATACTAGGACCAGCAGGAGGTGTGGTTGTTAAGGCACTGGACACTCTTCACGTGGCTGACCATGGTTTGAGACCTGGACCTGGTGGCGTGCTTTCTCACTTACCCACACACCCCCTGCCCGTGTGTCTCTGTCTGGTCAAATTAAAATAATGAATGAATAAAAATAAATAAATAATTCTTTAAAAATAAATAAATAGTAAAAATTAAATACTTACTGTGTAATTGAATTTTGAACACTTTTTTCATTTAAAGTCATCCCAGGAGGTGGATCATTTTGCAAAGCCAACAGTTCTTTCTGAAGTCGTTTCTAGAAAAGAACATCAAGAGTAATTTGTACTTTTTCTTTTTTTATAGTATAATATCCTTTTTTTTTCCACTAAAGGTTTTTGCCATAGGTACAGGTGCTCACCAGAAAGGAGACTTGAGATAGAGAGAGATTTTTGCAAAGCCAACAGTTCTTTCTGAAGTCGTTTCTAGAAAAGAACATCAAGAGTAATTTGTACTTTTTCTTTTTTTATAGTATAATATCCTTTTTTTTTCCACTAAAGGTTTTTGCCATAGGTACAGGTGCTCACCAGAAAGGAGACTTGAGATAGAGAGAGATACTGTGAGAAAGAAAGTGAGAAATCACCCCCCCCCCCTACACCATGCCATCCTCCCCTCCATTTTCCTCTTGGGATTTTAGACACGCATGCACATGTACCCAGCAAGGTTTTTCAAGTCACCAGGTCTAGGACTCGAACCATGGTCAGTCATGGGGAATCCAGTGCCTTAATCACCATGCCACCTGCAGTCCTCCAGAAATCACTGAATAATCACCTCTAAATGCTGATACCTTTGCCCTATATCTTTTATATTGTATATAATTCTCAAAAATTGATATATATATATATATATCCTATAATGCACAATCTATTGTTAAAACATTTCAACATTTTTGCTACAAAGTGGTTATGAAGGACAATCAATTATCTACCAAGCATCAAATTTCTTCAGGACTTCATAGCTACTCTACTGAGGTTATAGATCTTAACCTATAACTCACACACACGTACCCTGTGTAAGTTTCAAGCCACCAGGTACAGGACTCGAACCACCGTTGACTACATGGGAGTCTGGCAACATAACTATTATGCTATCTGCTGGTCCTTGTACTTGTTTTCTTTTTTAAAAAAATATTTATTTAACTTTATTTGTTGCCATTATTTTTTTAATTTGACCAGAGAGAGAAAGAAAGGGAAAATGAAAAAGCAAGCTAGTAGTAGGTTTGGGACTCTAACCACAGTTGGTCATGTGGGAGTCCAGCACCTTAACCATCATACCACCTGCCAGGCCCCGTATTTGGTTTTGGGGTTTTTTAAAGATTTATTTATTTTTAATTGTTACAATCACCATCCTTCATCTTTGACCAGAGACAGACAGATAGAAAGGGAGAGTGAGAAAGCAAGCCACCAGGTCCGGGATTTAAACCGTGGTCAGCAATGTGGGAGGGAGTCCAGCCCCTCAATCGTCACGCTACCTGCTGGCCCCTGTATTTGTCTTCTTGACTCAGATCATCTGTACATAATTTAATCTTTCAAGGTTACTATCATGAACATAACTTATTGTACAACACAGCAGGGCCTGAGATGTGTAAGGTTATTTTCCCACATTCTAGATGCCATAAATGGCTACATATTTTCCATTCTTATTTGTACAGCTTTTACATTCCCTTCTTCCCTCATTAACATCAGTGGACATTCATTCCCAGTGTATAACAAAACAAAACCAGAACAGCCTCTAATATATGGGTTTAAAACAAATCGAATAACCAGTGTTATTATAATTGCATACAAGATTGTAAAGTTGTTTTGTTTTGTTTTTGAGAGATTTTCCTTATAAGGCAAGTGCAATAGCCAGACAGACAGAAAGAGAAAAATCATCCCCTGGGGAGATGGCCATGCTGCAAGCCCTTCTCCATTTTCCTCTCAGGATTTTGGGTACGTGCACGGACACACACCCAGTGTGAGTTTCAAGCCACCAGGAACTTGAAACGCAGTCGGTCAGTGGAAGTCAAACATCTTAACCACTACGTCACCTGCTGGCCCTGTAAAGGTTCTTCATAAGCATTATGTTCTTGAAGTAAATAAGGTAAACATGGGTTTCTGTTCGTAACACAAGAGCTCAGCTTATAAACTGGCTTCAGGGGCCAGCCAGTTGGCACAGTGGTTAAGGCAGCTGAATCCCACTTGGCCGACCGTGCAGTTCAAGTCTCGGACCCAGGGAACCAGCAGTTAGCGTAATGGCTATGTCGCTGGACTCCCATGTAGTCAATCACGGTTCGCGTCCCGGACCCGGTGGCTTCAAACTCATGCCAGGCGCGTGTGCGTGCGTGCCCAAGATCCCGAGAGGAGAATGGAGGAGCAGGGATTGCAGCGTGACCATCCCCTCTGGGGGGAGGGGGTGTGATTTCTTGCTTTCTGTCTCTCTGTCTGTCTGGCGAGCGTACGTGCCCTATAGCGAAAACCTCTCCAAAAAAAATAAAAAATAAAAAGTTAATGGGAAATATTATTTAAAAAAAAAAAAAAAAAAGTCTCGGACCCAAAAGCTTGAAAAGCGTTTTTTTCCTCTTTCTCTCTCTCTGTCTCTGGTGGCACATGCACCCTATACCAAAACTAAAAAACAAAACCAATTTCTGATATTGGGGGGCAATGATATCAATATAGCAATGTTTTAGGTCTTTTACATTCATGACATCATGACTGTGACCAAGGTAGGCAGCTGTGTTTTCCTCTTTCTCTCTCTCTGTCTCTGGTGGCACATGCACCCTATACCAAAACTAAAAAACAAAACCAATTTCTGATATTGGGGGGCAATGATATCAATATAGCAATGTTTTAGGTCTTTTACATTCATGACATCATGACTGTGACCAAGGTAGGCAGCTGTGGGATGGTGGCCCTGGATTAGGGACTGTGGCGGTAGGCGGGGACTCCACTGCGGTGACTACAGCACTGACGAAAAACTACTAAAGTTCCTGTAGAAGTGCAAAGTAGAAGTTCATAAGAACACAATGGATGGAGAGAAGAAAACCTATGGTGGCTGTGAAGGCCCTGATGCCACATATGTCAAATTGGTATCTTCTGATGGTCACGAATTTATTGTAAAAAGAGAACATGCACTAACATCAGGAACAAAAAAGCCATGCTGAGTGGCCCAGGTCAGTTTGCTAAGAACAAAACCAATGAAGTCAATTTTAGAGAGATTTTTTTCACATGTGCTATCAAAAGTATGCATGTATTTTACCTACAAGGTTTGCTATACTAACAGCTCCACCGAGATTCCTGAATTCCCAATTGCACCTAAAATTGCACTGGAACTGCTGATGGCTGTGAACTTCCTGAACTGTCAAATAAAATAAATTATAATAAAAAAAATTCATGACATCGTTATGTAAGTTCAAAGTCATCTAACACCACTAGATTTAAAAACTCCTTTCTTTGCTATAAATTACTGTAATAGACTCAAAAATGTTATGAATTAAAATCTTTTCCTCAGATTCAGCAATATAATAGTTATAATAAAAATAAGATATTGTGGTTGAAATATCTTAGTAATGATTACATACAACTGCTGACTCCAGCTGCTCCCTAAAGTGCAAAATAATTAGAGACTAAAAATTAGTTAAGGACTTTAATTATTCAAGATATGGAAATAAATTTGCCTAAATAATTTGCTTTGAATCAAGTTTGTTTACAACAAACTTCTACATCAGAGCAGGATTTTTTTTTTCTTTTTTAAGATTTTTGCCATAAGATGTGCTTCACACACTGGAGAGAGACAGCAGGCAAGTGAGAAATCCCCCAGGGGAATGGCCATGCTACAATCCCTTTTCCTCCATTCTCCTTCCAGGATTTTGGTTATGTGTGCCCACACACCCAGCGTATTTTTCAAGCTGCTGGGGTCTGTAACTCGAACCACAGAGTTGGTCATGTGGGATCCAGCGTCTTAACTACCATACTACTTGCTGGCCCCTAGAACAGGGTTTTTAATTTGTTCTTCTGATTTTAACAAATGTAGGTTCTGTAATCAAGAGAATCTTTTTTAAAAATTGGGCTAAACAGAAACTTGTTTCTTCAACACAAGACTTCTCATAAACTTCTGATACACTAACTCATACAAAGATTCTCCAAAAAAAGGTGACATGAGGTTTCAAAAAATAATGGAACCCTTGGGACCAGCAGATGGCTCAGTAGTTAAGTTGCTGGACTCCTAGCTGCTGGCTGATCGTGGTTCAAATCCCAGACCTGAGGCCTGAAACTCAGGCCAGCGTGTGTGCATGTGTACCCAAAAATCCTGAGAAGAGAAAGGAGAAGGGATTGCAGGAGACTATCTCCCTGGGGGATGATTTCTGTCTCTGTCTTTCTCTGTCCATCTGATAAGCATATACACCCTATAGAAAAAAATCCCTCTAAAAAATAAATAAATAAAAATAATGGAATCCTTGGGTCAGCAGGTGGCATGGGGTCAAGGTACTGGATTCTCATGTGGACAACCACAGTTTAAGTCCCAAATCTGTTGGTTTGCTTTCTCACTTTCCCTCTTTCTCTCTCCCTGTCTCCCTCTCTAGTAAAATTGAAAATAATAATAATAAATAAAATAAAATACATGATTATGGAACCCTCTCAGTGTAGAACATCTCAGAGAAACCTTGTTTCAATGACCACATTTTGGGAACCTCTGCTCTAAAAATCCTCCAGATCTTGGTAACTTAACTAGCACAGGAAAGATAGCCCTTGTTGGTGCAGCGAGAATATAAATACATAGCTACCAACTGAAACAAGATGAGAGTTTTACTGGGGCCAGCAGATAGCATGGTGGTTAAAGGAGCCAGATCCCAGTCAACTATGTGGTTCAAGTCCTGAGCCTAACTGTGTGAGAAACATGAGTATGCGCACAGCTACACGTATGGCCAAATCCCAACGGAATGGAGACATAGAAGAGAAGAGACTGCAATGTGACCAGACCCCAGCGGGCAGTGCTATCTCTTCTCTCTCTCATCTGGCAAGTGTATATGCCCTCTGTCAAAATTTTAGAAAAAGAAAAAAAAAAAAAAAGAGAGAGAAAGGAAAACCTTTGTTCCTACATTGAAACTACTTTTATGTTTCATAATGGGATCTGTAGTAGCCAACTTCCAAAAGCACTCCCAGTTAACTCTGCTTCTTGGCATTAACACTATTGTGCTGTTTCTTCCCACACTGTACCAGAGTATGGTCTGTGTGACCACTGGAATACAACAGAAGTGATGGTATGTCACTCCCCAAATTACGCTATAAAAAACGATGGCTTCCAGACCAGCAGATGGCGTAATGGCTACTACGCTGCTGGACTCCCATGTACTCGACCGCAGTTCCAGTCCTGGACCCAGTGACACACGCCAGGCACATGTGAGTGCGTGCCCAAGATCCCGAGAGGAGAATGAAGGAGAAGGCATTGTGGCGTGGCCATCCCCCTTGGGGGGGTGATTTCTCGATTTCTGTCTCTCTTTCTGGCAAGCGCACGTGATTATAGCAAAAACCTCTTAAAAACAAAACAAAAAAGGGACCAGCAGTTAGCATAATGGCTATGTCGCTGGACTCCCATGTAGTCAACTGTGGTTCGCGTCCCAGATCTGGTGGCTTAAAACTCACACCGGGCACATGTGTGTGCATACCCAAGATCCTGAGAGAATGGAGGAGAAGGGATTGTGGCGTGGCCATCCCCTTGGGGGGCGATTTCTCGCTTTCTGTCTCTCTGTCTCTGTCTGTCTGGCGAGCACACGCGCCCTATAGCAAAATCCTCCCCAAAAAAAAAAAAGAAAGAAAGAAAAACAAAACAAAACGATGGCTTCCATCTTGATCAGTCTCTCAGGTTACTTGCTATGGAGGATTCTATCACGTTAATGAGCAGACCGATTCAGAGGCCCACATCATAAGGAACTGAAGTCACCTGCCAATAAACATGCGAGTCATTTGGAAGCGAATCCTCCAACTGAAGTCAAGCTAACAGATGTAGACCTGGACAATACCTGCCTGCAAGCTCAAGAGACACTGCAGGCCAGTCAATGGCAACGCTGGCTAAGGTGGCTGGGTTTCACACAGCCAACTGGGATGTTTAAGTCCTGGCCTCAGCAGCTTGAAAAAACACACTGCACATGCATGTCCAAAATCTGAGAGGAGATAGAGGAGAGATTAGGGCATGCCCATTCCTCTAGGGGGTACTTTCTTTTTCTTCCCCCTAAAATTATTTTAATTAATGATTATTATTAGTTTTTTTTTTTTAATTTGTCCAGAGAGAGACAGACAGAGACAGAGAGGAAAAGTAAGAAAGCAAGTCGCTAGGTTTGTACCCAAACCCGGGTCTGCCATGTGGGAGTCCAGCACCTTAACCACCATATCACTTGCCAGTCCCTGGGCGTACTTTTTCACTTTCTCTGTCTCTCTTTGGGGAGCACAAGCGCCTATAGCAAATTTAAAAGAAAAGAAAAGAAAAGAAACTTTAAGCCAGAACCATCCAACTAAGCCACTCTGATTCTTAACTCTTCATACTGTGTTAGATGATGGATGTTCAGTAAATTGCTAGAGCTGTGGGTTACCCAGAAATAAATAATGCAAATAGGACCTTCTGCTCCATCTTCCCTCCATAAGAGACTACCATAGACTGGTTCATTTCAGTATAGCCAAGTCAGAATCCAAGATATTCAATGGAACATGTTTTCACTGAGGTGGTGGAGTCATTACATTAAAATGACAATTCAGGTGAGCCCCACGCTGTTATCTCCTAGGGAGTTGGATATCTTGGACAGTCACATCCCTTGCAAGAAAGAGAAAGCAAAGCGAGCATTTTGGTGGTTAATGAGCAATAAGCTCACTAATAAAATCAGTAACTATTTACTACTAAGATAGTTTTTAAAGATACAAAGTCAAACAAAATATCTGTTTGGCCTATTCACAAGAACAGAGTTCACCCTTAAGTGTATATACTTTCTGGAACAATAGCTCAGTAGAGGGCAGGAAAAATCTTGGAGCAAATTATTAGGCCCAAGAGAGTCCTCTGGCTCTTCCAAGAAACTAATTCCTGGTTCTCTGTGGACACAGAACTAGAAGAGAAGGAATCAAAGAGTGAAATGTAAAGATAAATGAAAATTCATATTCCTTTGAAGATCCATAGAACTAGCATAACTCTTAGAAGTCACAGTCAACTGGAAGATATAATCACAATCACAAGAGGAGGCATTCACCTTCTAACCGTGAAGAGTGAGTATCCACAAAAGTATCTGAGAAACACTAGTGTCAGGACAAAGACCAGCAAAAGCAATGATACTCCCCCTACTCCTTACAGAAACACCACGGTCATACTGGCCCGCTTTCCCAGATCATAGTAAAAGAGCAGCTATAGGCTGAGGTAACCGCAAAATGGAAAACAGCTCTAGAAGGTAACTCCTGTAACTAAAGCAGCAGAAGCACCAAAAAACCATAGGGCGCAAAAGGGGAGAGAACATGAAAAACTAGAGTTCCAGTAGTCACAACCAAGTATCACCCTGGTCTGTCCCTATACTGGAGAGGTACAGGAATGTTAATTACAAATGTACCATGGTTGACTACATGGGAGTTCAGCGACATAGCCATTACACTAACTGCTGGTCTCAATACACACATATTATTAGGATGTGGGAGAGTCATGCCTTATTTTTCTATGCAAAAATGCATCATGACTTTCCTGATGAGCCAGTATTACTCTTAGCCTCATAAAATTTAAAACCCTTGGAAAGCTCAAGCTACAGTTTATGTACAAGAGGAAAACAATGTAAAAAGTAATCAGTTTGGGGACCAGTAGATGGCATAATGGTTATGTCGCTGGACTCTGATGTAGTCAAGCCAAGTTTGAGTCCTGAACTCAGTGGCTTTAAACTCACACTGGGCATGCACGTGTATGCCAGTGCCCAAAACTCCAAGAGAAGAATAGAGAAGGGATTTCAGGGTGGCCACCCTCCCAGGGGGCGTGATTTTTCCCTTTCTGTCTCTTTGTCACTATCTCTCCAGTGAGCGCATGTGCCCTATAGCAAAAATTTCTTTTTAAAAGAAAAAAGTCATCAATTTTAAAATGTTGGGCCAGCTGGTGGCATGGTGATTAAGGTGGTAGGATCTCACATGGCTGACTAAATGGTTTGTATCCCAGAAACAAAGGCTTGAAAAATATACCAGGTGCGTGTACCTGTTTGCCCCAATTCTAATCACTCTTGCCCTCTTTTTTTTTTTTTTTAACTTTTTTTTTTCTTTCATAAAAATGAGAGACAGAGGGAACCAGCAGTTAGTGTAATGGCTATGTCGCTGGACTCCCACGTAGTCGACCGTGGTTCGCGTCTCGGACCCGGTGGCTTAAATCTCATGCCGGGCGCGTGTGCATGCGTGCCCAAGATCCCAAGAGGAGAATGGAGGAGAAGGGACTGCGGCGTGACCATCCCCCCTGGGGGGTGATTTCTCGCTTTCTGTCTCTATGTCTCTGTCTGTCTGGCGAGCGCACGCGCCCTATAGCGAAAACCTCTCCAAAAAAAAAAAGACAGAAAGACAAGCATCCCCAAGAGGGTCCCACACCACAATCCTGTCGCCCCCAGACCCAGCCGGCCAGCCAGGATCATGGTGTTCATGCTCAGCGTGTACAGGATGACCAGGGAACAGAACCCACCATCTTCTATACAGACCCAGCACTGATGGAGCAGCATGACACTACTGTACCACTAGCTGATTCTTTCTTTCCCCTCTTTCTCTCTCCTTTACTTGCTGTCTCCCTTTTTCCAACTCCCTTTCCACATTACTTAATGATTGGATTTATTTATCTTAGTGAATAAATCACATTATTTTGATGTAACGAATCCCATCTCATTTTCAGGCTGGCATTAGCATTGGTTCACATTTATTGCTTTATAGGCTCTTTAACTATACTGGCTTACTAAAACCAGAGAAATTACCAACACATCTGCTACAATTTGGATGTGTCCCCCAAATGTGTTGAAATTTGGTGAGTCACTGCACTGGTATAAGAGGAAGAAACTTACCTGATTAAGGTGTCGCGAGATGGGGCCCCCAGGAGTTTATGGGGTTGGATAAGGACATCAAGGGGAGCATCACATGAAATACTCCTAATTAAAGCCAATATTCTAGGGCCAGCTCCACAGCCTAGTAGCTAAGGGAGCCAGAGTGACTCCTAGTAGCTTATTTTAAAAAGTAGATACATGGGGCTTACATGTGATGCCCTACGCTGCCTCAGAACTCTACAGAGTCCCCACCAAGAAGACCCTCACCAGATGTAGGTCCCTGAACGTGGAACTCCAAAAACATGAAATAAAAAACTTCTATTCTTTATAAGTTACTCAGATTTAGGTATTCAGCAGCAGGTGGCAAAAAAGCACACTAAGATAGCAGTACCCGAGACATAAAATGAAGAGCACAGTCAGTAACGGGTCCATAGACCACAATGCGTAGCACAGTGCTAAACAACTGAGGCTGTCTTTGACTTACCTCCTAAAGATTTTCAATGGCTATGCTTACATATTAGTTTTGAGTTTTTTGCTGTTTCAAAGAGCTGAGAACGATAGGTATGCCAGTATAGAAAAAGCATTATTACTGTTTTTTAATAGTAGACACTATTATTTATTTATCTTTTAATTGTTAGAGGGCAGGTGTGATTGCCAAAGACAAAGAATGAGAGAGAGAAAAAGGGAGGAAGCCTCTCTGAATTTGTGTGGTCATGTCGCAATCCCTTCTCCTCCGCTTCTCTCTTCCGTCAGTTAGGACTTGGAGCGTGCGTAGGCAAGCGCCTGGTGTTTTGTTCAGGCAGGGGCCAGGATCAAAACCATGGTTAGGTAAGTGTGATCCAACCCCCTTAACCACTACACTACAGAGCTGGACCTGAACATTACTACTTAGGTTGAAAAAGACACTACATCACATAAAATGTTCCTAATTAAAGTCAATATTTTAGGGCCAGCTCCATAGCCTAGTAGTAAAGGGAGGTAGATACCACACTGCCAACTGCACAGTTGGAGTCGTAGCCCCAGCAGCTTGAAAAATATGCCAGGCTTGTGCACATGTGTGCCTAAATTCCCAACAGGATGGAGAAATGGAGAAGGGATTGCAGTGTGACCAAGTCCCACTAGAGGTGCTTTCTACCTCTTCTGACAAGTGCATGTGCCCTCTGGCAATTAAAAATTTCACAGATGACAAGGGCCAGGAAGTGCAGTAGTGGTTAAGGTGGGTGGATCCCAAATGGCCAACTGAGCATTTCAAGTCTAGGACTCGGCGGCTTGAAAAACATGCATGTGTGGGACCAGCAGTTAGCGTAATGGCTATGTCGCTGGACTCCCATGTAGTCGACAGTGGTTTGAGGCCCAGAGCCGGTGGCTTAAACTCACGCTGGGCATGTGTGCATGCAGACCCAAGATCCTGAGAGGAGAATGGAGGAGGAGGGATTGCGGCATGGCCATTCCCCCTGGGGGGTGATCTGCTTTCTGTCTGTCTCTCTCTTTCTGGTGAGTGCACGTGCCCTATAGCAAAAACCTCTCAAAAAAAAGAAAAATGTGCATGTGTGACCAAAATCTTGAGGGGAGAATGGAAAAGGGAGTGTGGTATGATCATCCTCCAGGGGGTATGATTTATCACTTTCCCTTTCTCTGTCTCTTTCTAGTATGCAACGTACCCTGTAGCAAAACTAAAATAATAATAATAAATTCACAGATGACAAAAAGAAAAAAAGGACATAAAATGACTATCCTAAAAGTTTACCATAATCAGGACCAGCAGTTAGCGTAATGGCTATGTCGCTGGACTCCCATGTAGTCAACTGTGGTTCGTGTCCCGGACCCGGTGGCTTGAAACTCATGCCAGGCATGTGTGTGTGCGTGCCCAAGATCCTGAGAGGAGAATGAAGGAGAAGGGATTGTGGCATGGCCATCCCCCCAGGGGGTGATTCCTCGCTTTCTGTCTCTCTGTCTCTCTCTCTCTCTGGCGAGCGCACGCGCCCTATAGCAAAAACCTCCCCCCCCCAAAATGTTTATCATAATCAAGTTTATAAGAAAGCAAAAAATAATTATCTAAGCCTGTATCAGCTTTTATTCTGGGAGATGGCACACACATATTCATATAAATATATACACACAACGTATAAATACATACATATAAAGCTTATTTAATGAGAGGAGAAAAACACACATCCACACCAAACAAGTACCTGCAACAGGGTCTCATGCTGTAACCACCCTGAAGCCTTCTCGGCCAGCTAGAATCTTGGACATGTACACATGCTACCCTGCATGCAGACTGATGAGGAAACTGAACTGTGATCATCTACAGGGTTCCAGCATTGTTTGAGCAATGTGTTACTGCTGTTCTACTGAGTTAGCCATGGGGAA